ATACATAATGGAAAAATAAAAAATAGATCTTTTCTAATTCATAGATAAAAACATGAATGAATTGACACAATGCTACTATAGAATTTAACTGACCAATTGTTCCCTCCTCTTCTCCAGTATGCAGTGGAAACAATTTAGGAGACTAGCAGGCTGTGTGATACCCTCTGATACATCAAGCTGTCGCTTTTTGCGTAGATAGTCACAAAGTCGTTCATATTCCGGTAGTAAAAGATGGGAAATTTTGTCGAGTTCCGCTGCAAAGTAAGAACTATGTTGGGATGTTCTTTTGAGAGATGCTAAGAGGGCATACATTGGTTAAACTCAAGCGGAGGCTCGTCACCAATCGGATTTCGATGATCACTGGTAGATCTTCCATACAAATCATGGAATATCTGTAGATAAGAAAGATTAATTCTAAAAAATCATTGAAAAGAGATGCTCTCACCGATGCTTCATGGTAGAAAATGGTGGGGTCCGTTTGATGAGGGAGCGAGGAGGGCTTCTCGTTGGCCTGCTCCTCGCTCTTCTCGTCTGCGCTCTCTTCCTCTACCTCGATATTCTGATCAGCTACCTGTGATTTTGGTGCAGAAATTGCAGAAGCTGCTGCGGCTGTGTTGTAGAGCAAGATGTTTTCAGCATGCATGGCTATGACATTGACAACACCTAAACAAGATGGAGAACAGTGAATGGAAGGCTTGAACATGAGAAATTTTACTAAAATCCTGCTTCGGAGGCCAACGCTGTTCACCGCTGCGATGTTATCTTTGAGTCAGAGCATTTGTCCCGATGACAATATGTCCTCATCAAATTCCACACACAGCTCGCAGAGCAAGGATGATTTTCTCGTCATTAGCAGATTAGCGCAAGTGAGGACTCGAACCATAGAGCATTCGTGTACTGGTCAAAGGCACTAACCACTAGACCAATGAGTAGCAATTAACTGTCTTACCGTTGTCCTGTATCTCCGACTGGTTCGAAACAGCTAATAGGTCTTTCGGATCCAGTTGGATTCC